GGGGGGGGGGGGGGGCTGATAGAATCGCCCTTGTCGCCCCTCCCTTTGCACACGAAGCAGGCATTCATTTACCAAGTCTCAGGGAAAACTCATAAAAACGCTTCAGCTTCGCCACAAGAGGACACACAGCGTTCCAGGCCTTTTCTTGGAGCTGCAGGTCACTGGGGTTCTGGATCGCCTGAGGGAAGGAGACGGCAGTGCTAGAAGTGCTCTTCCTAAAACCCCACCATCCCCATGGCTTATTTGCCCCAGAGAGGCAGCCTGCAGCCCCAGCCAGGCCTACTCCCTGGTAGACCGACCCCAGAGACGGGGCATAGCTGGGGAGCTGCTCTGAGGCTGGAGAAGGCTCCTTAGCTCCCGCAGCCGGCACCCCGCTCAGTCCTCAAGGCTTCCAGGTCAAGCTTGGGAACAGTCTTTCCGGAGGATGTGCTCTGAGAACACCAATGGCCAACCAGGGCTAACAAGACAAAGACACTGAGCCACCAAACCCGGGCAACAGAGAACCCCTGGCGCAAGCACGGTTGGGAGGACGGAGCCCCCCGCCTCGGCCACGGTTCCGGCACAGACCGGGGGCTGCTGCAAGCACAACTCTGCTCGTACCTCTCTGATCTCTTGGCCGGCTCCAGCGTAGGACTGCAGTTCTGCCAGGATGGTCTGGGCCTCCTCCAGGACGGCGTTCACCTGGTTCCAGACAGCAGTTTCGGCTTCCGTGGGCTGAGCATCTGAAGCAAACCCCGCCCAGAAAGGAAGGGAGGCAGAGTTCAGAACCTGGGGGGCCGAGGTGTGGCCGTCGAGGGGCGTGTGGGAAAGGGGGAAATGTGGCTGGGATGGGAAGGAGCCAGGGCACTTCTAAAGGCACTCTTGTAAGTCCATGAAGCACCGCCCAAGCTGGTCAGTCAATCCAAACCGGTGCCTAGAGAAGCAGGATCTTCAGGGAAGCCAGTGAAGCAGCCACATGGGATCCACGAGCTTCGGTCCCCAGATCCTCTGCCCCATCACCAAGGATGATGTGGCATAGCCCCCTAGGAGGGAGGGGAAATAACTTGGGGCTTCACCAGGAAGCCATGACTCATGAGTTGCTTTGCTCTGGCAAGCCAAGATCTTTGGCCCTGAGCAGGGCAGGAGAAATTGTAGAAAATAAATATACAGAAAAGCATACAGGAAAACCAAACAGAAAGAAAGCGTGAAGAGAGAACAGAGCTCACACCTGTGGCAACCTAAGTCGGGGTCACCTGCCCTCTACTAAGCAGGGGTCCCTTTCACCCCCAGGGACCCATCTGACTGGCCAGCATTCCCCCTTTTCCATTCTTTTCTCCCCCAACGTGGGTTCCTTCTTCAACAGCCTTCCCCAGCAAAGGGGACCCTCCCAAAGAATGGACTTCAGTTCCCCAAGCTCCCCAGCCAGCATGGTTGCTGCTAAGGATTCTGGGAGATGAAGTCCACACATCAGACAAGGGCCCAAGTTACTCTCCAAAGAGGTCCAGGTTCCTTAAGGGCCAGGACCAGGGGAGGGGTCATGGGGTACTCCCCACTTATAGCAGTTGTGCGGCATCTTTGACTGGCATCACTGTGAGCCCCTGCAAACAACGCTGCTAAAGAAGTATGGAGTCCCTTGGTGCCAGGTGAGGAGCTCTGCTTGCAGCACAGTCTAGCGCTAACCTGGAGATGGCGGTCCTGAACCCCTTCCCTCTTGGAAGCCTCTGCCCATCCTGGCCTCGTTCTCCCTCTCGCCTTCCGTGGGCCTGGCCACCCCCTTCCTCGGCAACTGCTGTCTATCTGCCCGGACTGTGGCCACCTTCCCTCTTGCCCGCCTGGTTCCTCAGCCCCACGAGTCTGGTTAGCTACAGCCCAGCAAAGTAACACCAAATGAAAGAAATCAACGTGAATAAGGCATAAATTAATGAAGGAAGTTGTGAATTAAAATAAAGACAAAAATAATTTTAAAAACCCTTCTCACGTTCAAAGTCAAGGAAAAAATTAGGGCCTTGGTCAAGCTCATTATAAGTCAACACTTTAAGAAGGTTCCCCATGTGACACACCTGCAAGAGAAGAGACAAGAGGGAGAAAAGCATGATGCGCCATGGGGGGGAGGGAAGGGGGCTTCCCAGAGGAGCATGACGGGCTGGGAAATGGGTCCCCATCTGGGCACAGGAAGAGTCTCCAGCAAGACCGCCAGCAAATCCTGAGGAGTTGGCCAGACTAAGTCCAACGAGAGCCAAAGGCAGAAAAGTCAAGGCGTGCAATGGGGTGTCCCAAGCTGCACTAAGGGCTGGTCTGGCCCACTTCTTCCTGCCCCGAATGGAGGTGAGCGTTGGCTGATGGCAAGAACGACCAATGATAAGGAAGGGGAGAGCCACTGTTCTCTGATGCGGTGGGGGGTGGGGGCGCCCCTGTGGCTGGCCGGCCTGGGGGGTCCACTGGGGCTGGCAGACACGCGCTGGCAGCCGCACAGCAGCCCCGCACCCCTGTCGCAATACCGAAGACGTCTGCCTGCCTGCCTGAAGCAACCATTCCCAGGAAAAGGAAAAGTGAACCGTGAAGCACCTGAAACGGGTCCATCTGTGCATTTATGTAGTGCGTTCGAGGACTTAAGGCTTCTCTCAGTAACCCCTAGAATGGGTTTTCAAAGACGGTCAGCATCATTGCTCCCATTTTGCAGGTGGAAGTACTGAGAGAAAGAGATGCTGACTTGAGGGAAGAGCGCATGTTGGGACCAGCGCATGGCTTATGCTCTTGGCCAAACCAAGCACAGTGAACAAATGTCCCGTTAATTTTATCCAGAAGGTACGGCTTAAGTTTTTTAATTATAAGGAGGAAATACGGCAAGCATTTCACCTGTCGTTTGTGCCTGCATTTCACAATGCCAGCATGATTCTCTCTCTCCTTGAGAGGGAGAGCGGACTGTGAGCATCCCAGAGGGGTTTACTGGCCGCCATGAGAAATAAGATCTTGGGCTAAGAGGGAGTGTTGCTATGTCAGGGCCCCCCTCCCCAAAAGGCCTGTGATTCAGCGGAGCCCGCTGAAGGTAAAGAAGTCCTGCTTTGGGGGTGGGAGGGGGCTTGCTTAGGCCTCTGCTTCGGACTTGGGGGAGGGCTCCCAGTCTCCTGCCAGGCTTTTCATCTGGACTGAAGGTGACGTAGCTGCAACTGAAAGGTCTTTAGCCAGGTTTTAAACGCCTTATACGATTTTGTTTTTCACTTTTGGTTTTCAATCTGTCATCTGTCCTGAGCAGCGCAGAACGGCAAGATGGGATGCAAACTGAAACGCATATATCAATAAAAATGTACACGGATTTAATGGTCCCCAATCTGTTTGACCAGGAACTCCGGAACTGCACCTTGAGGGATGTCTAGGAATCTGTGGGGCGCCCTCCCTGACGGAGGCCGCCCAGGATCGGCTGGGGCAACGCTGCCGCTTCGCAGCATAGGCGTGACTCCTCTGCTGCAGGACAGGGGTGCCGATGAGAGCGGCCCTCACACGGGGCACGTGGACGCCCAAGGAGTTCACGGCCCAGGCCATCCCAAAGTTTGGAGAACAGTGACTCCCACTGCCAGGATTTATGGGCCCCCCACCCGTTTATTTTCTGCCTGGGACTTACTTTCAAAATCCAGGAAAAAGTGAGGACAGTTTTCTAAATCTTTGCCCAGTACTTTGATCAGGTTGCCCATGGCCGGCGGACCTAAAGCAGAAGAAACAGAACGGAGTGGGACGGCGGGTGCAAGCGGAGAGCCCTCAGGAGCCTTCCCTGCTCCAGCAGGCCCCCTCCGCCTCCCAGCAGACCAGCTTGCAAGTCCTGCTGCTCAGCCTGCTGCCAGATGCCTGGGGGCAGGGCCCCCACACTTGCCTGCCTCAGGGAGAGCCCCCCGCAGCTGCCCTTGGACGCTTGGGGGAGCCGAGAGGCCGGCCCCGTTGCAGGCGGCTCGGCCTCAGCCGTGGGGGGAATCCAGCAGCGCTTCCAGGAGGGCAACTGAGGCCCTGAGGCGGAGCTGCCCTCGGGCTCCCTGGGAGGCCTGTCTCGGACCACGGGGACCCAGGGGCCTTCCCCGTCCTCCCAGCCTGGCAGCAGCCCCTTCGCAAGCAGCCTCGCTCCCGCCGGCTCTGGCTCCGGCTTTGAGCCTGGGAGAAGCCGCCCAACGGCCAGCCGAGGGGTCCTCCCGGCGGAGGCAGGAGAAGGACGCGGGAAGGCCCTTTCCAGCCTCTGGCCTTCAGGCCCTTGACCCTCGCCTTGAATGGAGCCTGACCACAGACCGAGGAGTGCCCCGCGGCTGTGGCCCCCGTCTGACCCAGCCAGGCCGGTACCCGAGGGGCCAAGGGGGCTGCGGCGGCGGCGGCGGCAGCGGCAGCGGCAGCGGCTTGAGACATTCTGGCCCCCCTACAGTTGGGCTCCTCTTCCGATTCGGTTAGGAATTTCAAAGCAGGTGCCTGCTTGTTGCTTTTTCTCTTCGAGTTTTTGAGCTTTACACTTACGATTTTCAGCCTCAGACAATTTTTTTTTCTTTTCTCAGACATTTTCACCCAATTTACACTGCGAAATTATGGTTGACCCCTGAGCAGGTGCGCTGGCTCACAGAGTGCGCCACTGCTGCTTTTCGCTTTTTGTGTTTTTCAGAAGCCTTTTCAATTTTGGCGCCCCTAAAATTTGGCACTCCTAGGCCAGGGCCTGCTCAGGGGTGCAAGCTGGGGCCCCTCTCAGTTCTCATGCTCCTTTGCATTCAGAAGAGCGCTCTGGAAAGCATCTCCTCGATGTGCCACTTGTGCTTCTTGCGAGGAACCACAAAGGGAACGGCGAGCGCAGGAATGTCCTCCCACATTAACCCCCCAAGCAGCCCCGTTCTGCCTCCTCCGGATTCTTCCTCCTGGCTCCGTAGCACGGAAAGCGCCAGGGCTTTTCGTGGGGTGGAAGAGGGCCAACGCACGGCTTCCGGAAGCGCAGGTGACGGCCTTTTACCTCTGTTTATGATGCTTCGGCAATGTCTACAGCAAGACCTGGAGCGCTGTGGGGTTCATGAAACACTTCATCAGCTGGGAAAATCCTGCAGCGAGGAAGGGGGAGAGAAAGGAGGGTCAGGCTTCCAGCTCCAGACCCTCCTGGTGAGCTCAGCAGTTCCCTTCAGATGCCTGGTTTCAGGTGTCCGAGTGGGAGCAATGTCCTTGGTGTAAACAGGATGTGAGGATGGAAACCTCACGTCAGCAAGAGAAACTTCATCAATTGCTTCACACGAGAGGGAGGAAGACGATGCTGCTGCTGCGGGCAATCACAGTTACCAACTGTTTCTGATGTTTAATTCTCCCAACAGCAAGAATTCTCTGATGGATTACAAAGGTATTAAAAGACAGAACAGCACCAGAGAAAAATAAATGCCTCAAAAGCCACTGTCTTAATACATGGCAGCAATTAAAATGTCAAAATGGAAAAATCAAAACCTCAAACACCTGGGAAAGGAGAGATGGCTTTGCCTGGTCCTGGAAGGAATTGGGGGGTGGAGGTGGGGGGGGTAAGGTGCCAGGCATGCCAGCCTCAGAGGGCATCTCACCAGCAGGGCTTCACCACTGAGAAGGCCCTTTGCCTTGTAATGCTTACTCTGCTGCATTCAGAAAGGGACTGGGGTGCCCAGGAAGGGGGCGTCACACCCCTTCCTCTGACCTCAAACCATTCAGGCCACCGGTGCTGGTGGGGAAGAACCCATCCTCCCTGCTGGGTTCCCATCCAGTTCAGCAGAAGGGAAGCGCCACAGAAATGAATGGGAGCTCTGTGTGTGTGTGTGTGTGTGTGTGGAGTTTCTTTTATTTCAAGGGCAGGGGCAGCACTTCCTGCATCAAGCATCCTCGGACAGGCACTGCTGCCAGGCACGCAGGGTTTCCCACCTCCTGGAAGGTCCAAAGTTTCCCTTTCCTTTTGCAGAGGCTGCCGAGGAGGCGAAACAGTTTCTTTGTACGGAGCTCATGCATGCCTCCTATTCCTACCAATAAGGAAACTCTTCTCTGTGACTCTCAGTTGGACAGGACCTTGCAGGTCACTTAGTCCAGTCCTCTGCCCACCAGAGAGCATATGTTTGACAGACGATCATCCGGCCTCTGTCTGAGGATCTCTAGCGAAGGAGAACTCACCATGTCATGTGGCAGCCTGTTCCATGGCTGACAGCTTGTACAGTCAGGAGCCTGAATCTCCTTCCTTGTAGCTCTAATGTATAGACTGGAACAATTACTTCCCATGACCTGGACTCTCTGCTCATGTTAAAGCACCTCAAGATAACATCTGCTTTTTAATGTGTGGTCAACAAGGACATCCAGATCTTCTTCACATACTCGTGCCTTCATCTGTCTTGACCTTTTCAAATCTTCTCTCCCTCCTCTAAAGCATTAACCACCCCTTCCAGCTTTGCATTATCTGCAAAGCTGATAAGCACCCCTCAAATCCTTCCTCCAAGTCATCCATAACAGCCTTTAGATGTCCAAGTCTGATGTGTGACTCAAGACATGCCAATTTGCCCTGATCTGTCATCTCTAGAAATAAATAACTGGGATTTCCAATGACCGGTTCCCAAACCTAGTCCTCCTGCCCTTTCCCTGGGGCTGTAAGGGGCCTCTGCTGCTGTCTCCTTGCTTGGGATGATCTACGTGTGCAGATTTCATCCATATAGTATCTGAAAGGCAGCCCAGAAGCAACAGCCTTTTATCTAGAAGCGTCCCTGGAGCTGGGCGGTAGAGCTGGAAGGGATCACAGAAGCCATGCTGTGCAGGCATAAAATCATTTTTCATGTTTCAACACAGAGAGAGGAAAGCAGGGAAAGAAACATTAAGAGGAAAATTACACCATCCCACCCTATCGCATTATTTGATTAAAGAGAAATGAAGAAAGGGGGCAAGTACACCCTTTCCAAATGTGTTCTCTTCATGAAGGCGAGGTGCAAGGACAGTTAAGTCTGCAACAACAGTGGAGGTGGAAAACCTCCCAGGGGCTCAGCTCTTCATTGCTGTGGTTCTGAGCCTGTTTTCTGCTTGTTTTCCTTCTTGTACGTTGGTAGACACTAGCATAAGCATATTAGGGCCCCAATCCATCTGAGTGGCCTCTAATAGTCTGCTCTGCAGAGAAGCAGGAAGAGAACAGAGCCTAAATATCTTCTAGGAGATTAACTAGCAGGAAGAGTATCCTGACCTTTAAAAATCATACATACAGAACAGACAACCTGTACCTTTGTTATTTGCAAGCTCCCCACCTCTCCCTGTCCCTAATTATACTATATTCATAACATTCTTACATCATCAGGAAGAATTTGTCATCAGCTGAATGTTAATATGCAGGGCAACTTTGGGGGGGGGGGGAAATCACGTGGACAGGTAAGACAATGTTGGGTACTACTTAAGAAAAAGAAAAGCCACGCTGCGTGTATTAGGAGATGAAGTAAACCAAGATGGGTAACCTCACACTATTATACATTACAGCTGATGAAGTGATAGGCACTGAACTCCAGAACTTTTGGCGGGGAATAAATGGTCCTTTCTTAGTGCAGATAATCAAGAAAGTTGTAAAGGTGAAGTTCTGGAGGTCTTTTGAGAATGGGGAAGTTCAGAAGACAGCTGGATTAGTGTACCCATCTGTCTGAATTGGCCAAATATTTAGAACCAACCTCTGTCCATAATCTCTTACTTCTTTCTCTTTTATGCAGTTACAAAGGATTTGCTTAGCTTGACTCATCTCCCCAAATCAATGCCTATCAGAGTCACATGGTGGAGAGGGAAAATTAACTATTTCTGAAGAGTATATAGCAAGCTGGCAAAGTCTGTTCTCCAGCTTGAGCAGACATAATTGTGCTCTTTGGGGAGGAAAGTTGGAAAATCTGTGCATTATCATACAGTGATGACTCCAGACTGAATTACTATAATGCAGTTATTAGAATACAAGCTGTAAACCTGCTGTCCGATAGAAAACCACCAGGTGCAGATGAAATACCCATTGAACTTTTTAAATCAGCAGAAGAGGCAATTAAACAGCTAATAGCTGTGTGTCAACAAATATGGAACAGGATTGTGTGGACTGGAGACTGGAAAAGACTATGTATACGTAGTGAGAAATGCAAGAGAAGGTACAAATTATCAAATTATGCAATGATTCCTTATGTAATTAAAGGTTTGCTTAAGGTCTTGCAAAGACAAACAGAATCATATATGGAAGAGAAACTCAGGTAAACAGGCGGATTTCAAAAAAGACAGACGGAAATGAAATAAGAGAGCTACTCTAAAATGGCCAGCTAAAAGAGAGGGCAAGAGAAGGAGTTTTTACTTTTGTTTTACTGACTACATCAAGGTCTCTGAATTGGGTAGATCATGCTGGAATGTGAAACTTGCCAAGGATATGTGTTGAGTCACTAATGAAAGGAGGGAACTGGAGCTCAGATAGACAAAACAGTAAAAGAACCCTTTGCTCATTTGACTGACTTCAGATCTCCAAGGCTGGATAAATTATACCTTAGGAGACCGAGGACCTAGCAGAATCTCCAACTGAGAGCGCCTGTACCTTGACCTCAGCGAAGCACTTGGCAAAGCTTTTCATGATGTTCTCCTTAATACAACGGTAAAATATGAATTAGATTATACAAGAGTTGGGCATAGTAGAATCAGCACCCAGAGAGTGCTCACAAATGGCTCTGTATCAGGTTGAAGAGTAGTACCAAATAGAGTGCCACAGTGCTCTGTCTTGGTCTGTGCTATTACACATGTTTATCAATGACCTCAAGTGGAGGGGATGATCATTAAATGACACAAAATTAGGAAGAGTAGCTAACATGTAGAAGAGGAAGACAAGATTCAAAATGACTTTGATGGGCTTGAACAGTGGGCCAAATTTAACAAGGATGAAATTTAACAATAAGAAATGTAAAGTCCTGCAGCTGGGGACAAAAAATGAAACATACAAATATAAGACGGAGGAGATCTGGCTTGGCACAGTAATATGTGTGAAAAAGATCTGGGTCTTCTAGTAGATCACAAACTGAATATGAGTTATAATGCAGTTGCTAAAAGGTCAGATGCTATTTGGGGATGTATTCAGGAGCATAGAGTCCAGATTAGAAGAGGTAATGGTCTGTCTCTGCTCTGCCCTGGCCTGTTTCCACCGGGAGTCTCGTGTCCAGTTCTGGGCACTATGATAGTGACAAATTGGAACATGTTCAGAGGAGGGCTACCAAGATAGTGAAGGGTCTGGAAACCAAGTTCTGTGAAGAAAAGAATCTGGCATTATCTGCTTAGCCTACAGAAGAAATGACTGAGGATAGATATGAATGGATATGTTCTCTGTCACCCCAAGGGCAGGAGTAGAAACAATGGGTTGAAACTACAGGGAAGGAGATTCAGGTAGGTATTAGGAAGAATTTCTGTTATGAGAGTTGTCAACCAGTGGTACAGGCTGTCTCATGAAGTAGCAGGTTCCCTGTCATTGAAGGTCTTCAGTCCTTCAATGGTAAGCCATTTGTCTGAGATAATTTAGCAGATCTTTCATTGAGCAGAGTCTGGAATAGTTAAACTCTCAAGTCCTTTAGCTCTAGGATTCTATCATAATGGTATACTAGAATGTTTGATTATTCATCTGAAGAACCTTTACAATGAACAAGAACCTAGTATAAGAATTGAACTGAAGAAGCATCATTGTTCCAAAAAAGAAATGGAATGTTATTTCCTCCATCTCTCTTTCACCTAATATAGTGGATATATTAGAGGAACAGACAGACTGGAAGAGGTGATGGCTGGAATTAAAACTGGAGGTCAAAACACTACCATTTAAGATATGCAGCTGACACTGCTTTGTTAGCAGAAAGTAAAGAAGGCTTGCAAGGGGGAAGTAAAGAATCTGTGTTAATGTTAAATATTAACAAGACAGAGGAAATGTCTACCAGCACACTCATGAGCTGACAGTTGATAGCAAGAAGTGAAGGTTGCAGATAATTTTGTTTTCTTTGCTCAACAATGAAGATGAAGTGTGCTGGAAAAGTAAGGAGGTGACCTGTGGTTGGGTCCATGTGATGGTGTCA